CCTCCAGCATTCAGCTCTCTGACCTCGAGCTGCCAGCCTCCAGCTCTCTGGCTTCCAGCTCTCCGGCCTCCAGCTCTCCAGCCTCCAGCTTCCAGAGACACCCCAGGAACCTGCCCAAGGACGTCGTAGCCTGCCTCCCCCTCGACAGCCCCCACAGCCCGGAGGACCCACATCGCAGGAGACCCCCTCCTGAGTGGTCCCGCAGCACCCGAGCGGCCTCACGCGCTGCCGGAGTCCCCCCAGAACAGCCCCATGCTGCTGCACCCCACCTGGTGCCTCCCTCCAAGCAGCTGCCTGCAGTGCCGGACACCATCCCGGGGTGACCCCGGCACCGGGGCGCAGACCCTCAGTGCTGAGCTGCCCACCGCGACCCTCCGGGCAGCACCAAGTGGGAACCACATCGTGGCACAGACTGAGCATCCCTTGGACCTCCTGCCCTGGCAGTGCTTCAGGGTAGCAAAGATGTGTTTTGTTGGAGTATTTTTCTAATAAATCGTGTTTTTCTGGTGATTCTGCCTGCGTGGCTCTGCTGGGGCCCCTGCCAGCACGGGCAGAGGTGGAAGGATGCACTCGGGATCATCCCTCTCGGCTCCTGCAGTCCTCTGAGGGGTGTGGAGGGAGACAGGGGTCCGATTATTCCCGGGGATAGGGAGGAGCTGGTTCTGTCTGCCTGGCTGTTAGGGAATATTCTGGGTAGAGGCAGCATTTAATGTTCCCATTGAGAAACTCCAGGTTGAGTTGTGGGGAATGCAGCCAGCATCCTCTTGAGGAATCAGCCCAGAAAGTCCCCAGGAGCCTCGGGCCGTGTCATAAAAACGGGTAGAAGAATTACACATAACGCTTAAGATGGTTAAAAACTGCATCGGAGTCGAATAACCAGAGAAAAGAAATACAAATTATCTTTCTTTCTGACACAATACACTCTTTTACCAGAGCAAATTAGAAATACAGAACAAGTTCCTACCAGCGAGAGAAGGACGACCTAGAAATGAGGGACACGGAACCGAGACACAGCGCTGGGGAGCAGGGGGCGACCGCGACTTCCTCGGGCACAGGAGCCCTGGCAAAGCTGCTCACAGGAGTCCTGACCGCGAACGCGATCTGCAGCCAAGAACAGCCCATGGTAAACCAGTAAGGAAAACCCATTTGGGAGCAGGGATGACTGGGGACAATGGGGTTTGTGTCGCCCTGCAGCTGGTGTCGGAGGTGGGCTCAGCACCACCTCTCCATCCTGAAATCCCGCAAAAGCCCCTCAGAGCTGTCTCAGGGTGGTCCCTCCTTCCTGTGGCATCGTGGTGGGACGCTGAGCGGCTCCCAAAGCCTTCCTAGGCTGTACCCACGCCTCCTGAACCAATTCCTGGGGAATATCTGCAG